GCGGAGAAGGGTAAAGGGGTGGAGGAGGAGAAGCGCTGGTCCGACCACGAGCCCGAGGATGACATTCTCCCCGAATTCCCACTCTTTGAGGACGACACTACCGCCAAGAGCACGTCTACATCGTCTATCCAATAATGATCAAGCACACCATCACCAGCTGGAACGTGAGGAGGTGCATGGGGATCCCGGAAAAGCGACGCAACATTTACACCTATTTATCAACATTCAAAGCATCCGCCATTCTACTACAAGAACACTTCATCAAACCGGAACTCTGGCAATGTATCAAGGACGAGTACGAGGGCAAGGTCTTCATCAGCAAACACTGTCTGACTCTGATCCCCGCCGACTCGCCCCTGATCGACGCCGAGATTTTGCGCACCCACTCGGCACTCGACGGACGAATCCTGGTCACCTCCTTTCGACTTCGAGGCGACATCCGGATACTCGAGATCAACAACATTTACGCACCAGTCGATACAAAACAACGACTCACATTCTTTGACAAACTACATTTCCACAGGACGCAGAGCACCCACCTTCGACTCCTCGCGGCGATCTCAACGACTGCCCGCTGCCGGCGATCGATCGGCGGAACCAAGGTCGGCACGGCCATCACTGGCCGATCCTGATCGGCAAGCTCGACTCGCCCTACACCGACTGCATACGATTCAAACACCCGCTCACACCATCTTTCACTCGACCCAACATCGTCCGCAAGCGACCAAAGTCCTTTTCACGACTTGACTACTTCCTTCTGCAGCGCACCCACCAAAAGCGACTCGTCCAAGCCTCGACGATCTACGACCACCCCAAGGACCTTTCGGATCACCGACCGGTCTCGATCGTCCTAGTTCTCTCGGATGAGCGAGGAGACGCGGCTCAACCCAACAACAGTTTACCAACGACATCAAACCAATTACATCGTATCAACGCGGCGACCTTCAAGACGGCGGAGTTCCAGGGGATGTTGGAAGGATGGTTGGAAGGAGCGAGTGGGGAGGAACCGGTGGGGGAGCTCGAGGTGGTGCTGGGGAACTGCGCGAAGGAGGGTCGGGAGCTGGCGAGGAGGGAGCATCGGGAGCGGGTGGAGCGGATGGCGGTCTTGGTGGGAAGGGTGCAGGATCTGGAGGCGTTGCCGGTGATGGGGGACGAGGAGACGGCCGAATGGACGCGGACGACGGAGGAACTTAGGCGAGCGGTCAACGAGCGCGCGCGCCAACTTCGGATCCGAGCCCACGTACCCGAAATCGCTACCGAGGAACGACTGTCGCGGCCGGTCCACGCCAAGCTCGCGGCACGGAGTTCGGATTCCAAGATCACAGCACTGCGATTGCCCAACGGAGAGCTGACACATGACATTGACGTCGCGCTTGACCACACACAGGCGCACTTTCAGCGCCTCTACGATCTCGAGCCGCGCGATCGGGACCACGTCGAGCGACTTAGGGACGATTTCTTGGCGCCGATCAGGTCGGCGCGCACTTGCGATGACCCGAGCTCGGACCCGCTCTTTCTGCGACGACTCTCGGAAGCGCACATCGAGCTGCTGCAGCAACCCATCACCGAGGACGAGGTCGTAGCCGCAATCGCAACAACACACCCCGGTCGATCGCCGGGTCCATCTGGCGTGCCCTACGAGCTCTATCACACAGCGCCGCGGGCGTGGGCCAAGGCGCTGAGCAGGGCCTTCAACGCGATGACCGAGCGCGGCTCGCTTTCACCGAAGCAGGGGCAAGGACTCGCTCGCCTGCTCTTCAAGCACCACAAGATCGGGGCCGATCGCGCCGAGCTCTCGTCGTACCGGCCCATCACCTTGCGCGAGTGCGACTACAAGCTCTTCACCAAGGTCTACGTTGCGCGACTCAACCACGTGCTGCCGGACCTGCTCCCACCGCAACAGCACGGCTTCGTCAAGGGCCGCCGATCGGCGGACGCGTCATTCCACCTGCGACTCTTGATCGAGGAGCTGGGCGCGCGCGGCACCGAGTTCCCTGACGCGGCGCTCTTGTCTCTTGACCAATCGTCGGCTTACGACCTCGTCGAGCACGAATGGATCTTCGCCATCTTCGACGCTCTCGGCGCTCCTGCCGCCTTCCAACGCGTTCTGAGGATGCTCTACTCGGGTGACTCAACCACGGCGCGATATATCATCAACGGCTTCTTGACTCCGCCGGTGCGGCTGACGTGTGGGCTCGGCCAAGGGGACCCGGCGTCGTCGTCGGTCTGGGATGTCGTGTTCCAGCCGTTCCTGGATGCTCTGCACCGTCGAGGCATCGCGCTGAACCTCTCGCTTCCTACCATTCACCCCTACCCACAGAGCCGCGCCATTACATCCCTTGCGTTTGCCGATGACGTCGTCGTCGCCGTCGCGGGCTCGGAGTCACTCAACTTGCTCGACGACCTGGCGCTCGACTGGAGGCTCGCAACCAATGGCCGGCTCAACACCGACAAGACCGTCGTACTACCCATCGGGTGTCGCTGGGAGGCTGGCGATCGTCCGCTCGTCGTCAAGGCCGAGGGCGAGTCGCTCGAGTGGATCGGGCCTATCTTTCGACCCCACCGGCAACACCGAACTCGCCAACGTGAATCTCGTCGCACGGCTCGAAGCGGTGCTCGATTCGGCACGGGACCGAGGGCTCACACACCACACCCGAGCGTTCTACGTCAACCGATACGCCATTCCCAAGATTCTGCACATCCTCTCCGCCGACATCCCACCGCTCGAGGTCGTCAAGGAGCTTGATCGCATTTTCGCCGACTTTGTCCGCGGCGGCAAGAGGAGGTCGTGCTATGGCAAGGACGTCGTCTTCACACCGAGGTTCAAGGGGGGTCTTGGGGTCATGCGGATGCAGGACGTCGTCGACTCGGTTGCGGCACGCGTCTGGGACGTGCTTCTTGGCGGTTCGGATGCGATCTGGCAGGGACTTGCGCGCGCGGCGATTGTACGAGCCCATCCCGCCCCGACTTTGACTTGGCAACCGATGCGTGGCCTTGCGACTACACTCCGATCCGAACCGATCTACACCCAAGATGGCAGGCCGTGCTGAAGGTACCATCGACGCACAATGCGCAAGTCAAGCCGAGGACGTTGACGCTCGCGAACCTTCTCGCTCTTCCGATCAAGTTGCACACCCTTACTACCTACCGGGAGCACCAGCTGTGTCCGCGACCACCTACGACGCCGACTATGCTGCGTTTGCCATTTACGCCAAGGTAGCGGACCTGTTTCGACGCGAGCTGTACCCGGGCGGGGGCTTTCATCTCTGGACGCCGCCGACGGATGTGGTCGTCAGCAACAGCGAATACGATCAACGGGGCCGCCCACAACGAGAGCACATCGTGGCATGGTACCGACATGCGATCAATCGATTGAGGTTCACACCAATAGCTCAACCGGTGGCGGCAGTACGAATCAACGGGCCTCCCCGAGTCCGCCCCACCACGCCGCTCGAGTCGATCCTGCCCCATCCGATCGACCCGCCGCAGCGCCTTCCGAGACCGGCTCTCCCAGACCAATCAACACAATACAACTTGCTCAGCATGGATCGGCCATACACCATCCGTCGCGTCCGCCGAGTCTTGAATGCAAAGGCCTTCACCGACACGATCGGTTTCAGGGACTCGCTGCAGCCCGACGATCTCAAGGGATTCTGGAAGGGGGTCAACTCGAAGGCATTGACGGCGAGGGAACGCGAGGTGTGGTTCAAGCTCGTCAGGAACTTCACCCCGACTCGGAGTCTGCAGTTTCATCAAAAGCACGACGACTCGCCCGCGTGCCTCGTCTGTGGAGCGCCCAAGGACGATCGGGAGCACTACTTCTTCGACTGCGTTGACTCTAGGAACGTTTGGATCGCGGCAAGGGGCGTGCTCTGCGACGCACTGGGGCTCGACACGATCGACAACACGCATTACACGGCCGTTCAACGCATGTTCGGACTTCCGAAGCTCAAGGCCAGTCTGCGCGATCAAGAAGGAGCGGGGAGGACGATCGAATATTCACCGGGCTGGTCTTGGAGATGATCAGCAGCGGGAGGTGGGGGATGCAGAAGTGGGGGACGAGGATGGAGGGTGTTGGGAGGAGGAGGATATCTTGGAGGAGAGGTTGAAGCTGAGGGCGGGAGGAGCTTGGGGAGGAGAAGGCAGTAGAGGCTGGGTTCGACTTTCCCCCACCACCACACACACACCAAATTCTCGTGACATCATTTTCTCCTACTGTACATAAATAGCTCGCTTTCCTCTTCTTTTGTTACAGGTTCACCGTTGCGGATCATGGACCATCTCGCGATTTGGCGTCGACTCGGTGTGGCTCGCGCTCTTCGGCTTCGGGGTTCTGAGTCAAGGGAGGGATCAGCGGACACAGGCAGAAAGTCGGCTTTGAGGGGCCAGGGACTGCCGAGGGGAGGTTTTGAGGGACCTTCACCGCGTCTTGTTGTGACTGAGCAGAGACTTGGAGCGTCGAGGGTCGTGGTGGTTGCGCAGTCGTGCTCTTGTCTTCGTCTCGACCGAGTGGGAGTGGCTGTGGGGTGGGCCTTCTGTCGTTAGTACATTTCTTTTCTTTCTCTTTCTCTTTCTCTTTCTCTTCATCTCTCTTTCTCTCTCTCATTCGTCTCCTGGGGGGAGCAACCGCTTGGCTAGGGCATTTGAATCCGAATCTCGGATTGGTGGACTTGGCTCGTTTCTCGCACTTTTGCGGGCGGTTTGTGTTATCATCGTAGTCTTCCATCTAGTTTTTCCGTAGGCCGAAACAGGGGGAACAGGAATTGGGGGCAATATGATGAACGTTTTCTACAAAAAAAAAATCATCATTGAGCGGTGTATCGACCACAGAATCAATCTTACGCCTTTTACTTAAAATTGCCGTTGTGATGCACTCCAACGCTCTTAGTCCAAATCTTTCTTTCACTTCACTTCACTTCACTTCACTTCACTTCACTTCACTTCACAATCGCCCTACTGCAGCCTTCGATACTCGAGTTAACAAGTGATACACCGACAAGATGTCTACCGGAGACCCTGGGTCCCCACTGCCGGCACCGCCACCACCGGTATCCGCCGCCAGCGTCCAGCCCCCCCGCGACCGGATCCCGATAAGCTCGAAGAAGACGCAAGTCACGGGCCCCGCCACCGCCGCACCCAACTATGCTGCCGCTGCGAGTCAGATGGCGGCTCAAACACCTGAACAACAGCAACAACAACAACAGCGTGCCAAGGCTCTGGGCAGCCTCCTACAAGCCATGGGTGCTGTACCCGGAAACCGTATGGATCGCTGGGTCCAGGCCATCTACTTCGCCGAACTCTACCCCGTCGCCACCGCCACATCGCTGAAATTTTCGGCCTTGAACGCGAACCGGTCCGTCGAGAACATCTTCGATTACGCCCTTGAAGTGACTCTGTCTCACCAGAGCGCCTCGCGAGCGACTCATGCCGACAAGATCGATCTCGTGGCCTGCGTCACGAGCTGCTATCGCCCATCTCTCCTATCTGCTTTGAGCCTGGAGTTCCTCTGCCGGACCATCTTGCGGCTTATCAACCACAGATCTTAGGCGTACAACATTCATCAATCCTGCGTAATGGGGCGGCTCACCATCGCGTTACGGTTGGGTTCGTCACCGGCGAGGCACGTGACGCGGCGCTCACGACGCCCCCCGCTCTCACTTGGCGATCGGCGAAGGCCCGCTTCGCGAAGTCTCACAGGTTCCACCATAACATGGTCGAGCTTCGAATCAACGTCGGTGTTCAAGGAGTGCCCTCCATGGATGCCATCATCAAATCGTTCCAATCACTTGTGCAAGACCTGTCAGCAAGGGACATTCATGCCAACTTGTGCAGGTTCTGCGCGTTATCAGCGTGGACAACGCCTCGGCCTTCGCCCACGTTGCCGGAGACTACTCGGCTTTCCTACACTTCGATGACGACTCCCTATTCCAACGCCCCAACACGACCTTGAAGGAGATTCTACCTTCGAGGATCGACCTTCCCACTCGAGGCATCCCGGTTACCGCCCTTCGCCATGACTATGAGAAGGAGGCGGCTTGCGGTAGGTGCCACTTTGTGGGTCACGTGGGAACCTGCGGACTGGATCAGGAGAGGAAGCGGAAGGAGGCTCACAACGGCATCATCAACAGCAACAAAAACACCATCACCCACAACACCAACATCGCGGAGGCCGAGGCCCCCATTCCTGTGCTGGTTGTTAACAGGATCGCATCACAGAATCACTTCGCCGGGCTCGAGGTCGAGGAGGGACAGGAGGAAGAGGTAACTGGCCAGGGCGAACAGGGACCGGAGGAATCGGGGGAGGAAGACGCTGGTGATAAGGCGGATGACGAGGACTCGGAGGACTCGGAGATGGAATCGGAGCGGCCGCGAAAACGGAGGTCATCAAAATTGAAAGCGAGGACGAGTCGGTCTTGGAGGACTGCAGCGGATCCGATGGAGAGGTGATTGATGAGAATGAGGTGATGGCGGATGAAAGAGGTGAAACGGAAGGAGAGGTGGCTACGGAGATGGAGGAAGAGGAGGTGGCGACGGAGGTGGGCGATGTGGACGAAGCGAGGGGATCGACGAAAGCGGAGAATGCGGAAGCGACGGACTTAGGGGAAACGAACAGGCTGGACAATGACGACGACAGCGACGCCACAGCAACCGCCGCACCGCTTCCCGCGAATCGACGCCGCATGAACCAACCCCACCTCTGTCACCCGAAACTCTCGCCAAGTCGCTACGCGAGGGGGAGGAGTGGGACAGGATCAGAGCTAACTGGGTTGAGCAGGCACGACTTGAGCGGGACCAAAGCATCGAGAGGAGGCTCAACGCTGAAACCCCTCTGGTGCGTCACAACTTTGCCACGTGGGACGAGGACGGTGAGATACGCTCCATCAACATCAGGGGGACCGCTGCGAAGTTCAAGAAGCAGGTGATGAAGAGGTCGCAGACTGCGGCGGACCTCAGTGACCCAAGTGACGAACCGACCGACGCCAAGCGAGTCATCATCAAAGGGAAGAGCCGCGTCGTGGTGAAGGATGGAATAGAGGGGCGGAGGGTGACGAGGTCGATGTCGGCGGCAGCGGCGATGCAGGTCGAGGTGACGAAGGTGGACAGAGGGAAAGGAAGAGGGGTAGCTGAGGAAAAACGATGGTCCGACCACGAGCCGAGGACGATGTCCTGCCCGCCCTTCCCCTCTTTGAGGACGTCACCACCGCCAAGAGCGCCTCGACCTCGACTACCCATTAATGATCAAGCACACCATCATCACCTGGAACGTAAGAAGGGGCATGGGGGTCCCGGAAAACGACGTAATATCTACACCTACCTTTCCACATTCAAAGCTTCCGCGATTCTCTTACAAGAGCATTTCATCAGACCACAATTCTGGCAGCTCATCAAGGACGAGTACGAGGGCAAGCTCTTCATCAACCAGCACTGCCTGACCCTGATCCCGGCCGACTCGCCCTGATCGACGCCGAGCTCTTGCGCACCCACTCGGCACTCGACGGCCGGCTCCTCGTCACCTCCTTTCGTCTGCGGGCGACATCAAAATTCTAGAAATCAATAACCTCTACGCGCCCGTTGACCCAAAACAACGAGCAAAATTCTTCGACAAACTGATCCTCCACAAAACACAGAAATCCCACCTCCGACTCCTTGGCGGCGATCTCAACGACTGCCCGCGCCCAGAAGTCGATCGGCGAACCAAAGTCGGCGCGGCCACCACTGGCCGATTCTGATGGGCAAGCTCGACTCGGCCTACACGGACTGCATCCGCTACAAGCACCCCATCACCCCATCTTTCACTCGACCTAATCCCAATCGCAAGCGACCCAACTCCTTCTCCCGGCTTGACTACTTTCTCTACAAAGAGCTCACCAAAAAAGGCTCGACCAGGCCTCGACGATCTACGACTATCCCAAGGATCTTTCCGATCACGACCGGTCTTGATCGTACTGGCTCTCTCAGACGATCTTGATGCGGCTCTCCCACAGTCAGCCTACCTACCACATCCAACCAACTACATCGAATCAATACCACAACCTTCAAGACGGTGGAATTTCAGCGGATGATGAAAGGATGGTTGGAAGGGGCAAGCGGGGAGGATCCGGTGCGAGAGCTTGAGGAGGTTCTGGAGGCGTGCAGGGACAGGGGTGGGGAGATGGCGAGGAGGCTGCATCGGGAGCGGACGGAACGGATGGAGTATTTGGTGGGGAGGGTGCAGGATCTGGAGGCGTTACCGGTATGGGGGGAGGCGGAAACGGCAGAATGGACAAGGACGTCCGAGGAACTCAAGCGGGCGGTCGAGGAGCGCGCGCGCCTACTCCGGATCCGAGCCCACGTCCCCGAGATCGCTTCCGAGGAACGACTGTCGCGGCCGGTCCACGCCAAGCTCGCGGCGCGGAACTCGGACTCCAAGATCACAGCACTGCGCTTGGGCAACGGAGAGCTAACGCATGACATTGATGTCGCTCTTGACCACACGCAGGCGCATTTCCAGCGCCTCTACCACATCGAGCCTCGTGATCCGGAACGCGTCGACCGACTTCGGGACGAACTCCTCGTGCCGATCAGGGCGGCACGGACTTGCGACGACCCGCGCTCAGATCCGCTCTTTCTGCGCCGACTCTCGGAAGCGCAGATTGATCTCCTCCAGCAACCCATCACCGAGGACGAGGTCGTGGCCGCGATCGGGACGACGCACCCGGGGCGATCGCCGGGCCCGTCGGGCGTGCCTTACGAACTCTATCAGACCGCACCGGAGGCGTGGTCCAAGGTGCTGACCAAGGCCTACAACGCGATGATCGAGCGCGGTTCACTCTCTCCCAAGCAGGGCAGGGACTCGTGCGCCTCATCTTCAAGCGCCACAAGAAGAATGCCGATCGCGCCGAACTCTCGTCGTATCGCCCATCACCCTGCGCGAGTGCGATTACAAGATTTTTACCAAGGTCTACGTCGCCCGATTGAACCAATTCTGCCGATCTCCTCCCGCCGCAGCAGCACGGCTTCGTCAAGGACCGCCGATCGGCCGACGCTGCACTACACCTTCGTCTCCTGATCGAGGAACTTGGCGCGCGCAGGACCGAGTTCCCCGCGGCCGCGCTCTTGTCTCTTGACCAATCATCCGCCTACGACCTCGTCGAGCATGACTGGATCTTTGCCATTTTCGACGCTCTGGGCGTTCCTACCACTTTCTTCGCGTGCTGAGGATGCTCTACTCGGGTGACTCGACCTCGGCGCGCTACATCATCAATGGGTTCCTGACGGCGCCGGTGCGACTGACGTGTGGGCTCGGCCAAGGGGACCCGGCGTCATCGTCGGTCTGGGACATCGTGTTTCAGCCGTTCCTGGATGCTCTACACCGTCGAAACATCGCGCTGAATCTCTCCATACCTGCACTTCATCCGTACCCACAGAGCCGCGCCATTACATCACTTGCATTTGCCGATGACGTTGTCGTCGCCGTCGCGGGCTTGGAGTCACTCAACTTGCTCGATGACCTGGCGCTCGACTGGAGGCATGCAACGAATGGCCGGCTCAACACGGACAAGACGGTCGTCCTACCGATTGGACGTCGCTGGGACCCTGGGGAACGGCCAATCGTCGTCAAGGCCGCAGGCGAGTCGCTCGAGTGGATCGGCTCCCCTTCGACCCCAGCGGCGACACCGAACTCGCCTACGCGAATCTCATCGAACGGCTCGAGGCGACGCTGGAAGCGGTTCAGCATCGCTGGCTCACGCACCACACCCGTGCCTTTTACGTCAATCGGTACGCCATTCCCAGATCCTGCATTTCCTTGCAGCCGACATCCCGCCGCCCGAAGTCGTCAAGAAGCTCGATGACATGCTCGTCGATTTCGTCCGTGGGGGCAAGGGCAGGACCAGTACGGCAGAGACATTGTGTTCACCGCCAAGAACAAGGGGGGACTCGGGGTGATAAGGATGCGGGACGTTGTGGACGCGGTTGCGGCACGGCTCTGGGACGTTCTTCTCGGCGGTTCCGGCGCGATTTGGCAAGGACTTGCGCGCGCAGCACTCCAGCGAGCTCAGCCCGACCTCGACTGGCCACCGATCTCTGGCCACATCCATCCACTCCCATCCCAACGACCTTCATCCCGATGGCACGCCGCACTGGGCGTTCCGAACTTCACGACGTGCAGGTCAACCCGAGGGCCTTGACCACCGCGAACCTGCTCGCGCTGCCCACCCTGCTCGGCAGCCTCCACACCCCATCAGAGGGAGACAGACCATCGACGCGGTTATGTACCTGACTACCTTCGTCTCCAGGGCTACCCGAAGGTGGCGGATCTCTATCGGCGCGAGTTGTATGCGGGTGGGGGGGTTTCACCTCTGGACGCCGCCGGCGGATGTGCTCGGCGACAACAGCGAGTACGATCGACGCGGGCTCCCGCAGCGACTGGCAATCGCGGCCTGGTACCGGTTCACTGTCGATCGAACAAGAACACCCCTTGGCGGCGGCGGTGGCGGCGGGACGACTCAACGTGCCTCCCCGGATCGGCACCAGCGCACCACTCGAGGCGATCTCCCCAAGCCCGTGGCCCGCTTCGCAATGGAGCAGCGCCTTCCGGACCGGTGCTTCCACACAGGCGAGCCAGTATACGCTGCTGAACATGGCTCGCCCTACACAGTCGTGCATCCGCCGGGTCCTGAACGCGAAGGCATTTACCAACATGCTCGGGCTCAAGGGACCCCGCAGCCGGACGACCTCAGGAGCTTCTGGAGGCAGTCACTCGAAGGCACTGACGCGAGGGAGAGGGAAGTTTGGTTCAAGCTGATCCTCCGCTTCACCCGACGCGCAAGTCCAGCACGAGCAAAGCATGTCACTTCTCCCGTGCCTCGTGTGCGAAGCGCCGGTGGACGACACCGATCACTACTTCTTCGGCTGCGTCGACTCGCGGAACGTCTGGACCGCGGCAAGGGGCGTGCTCTGCGACGCGCTCGGATGCGACACGATCGAGGACGCCGAGTACACGACACTACAACGACTCTTTGGCCTCCCCAAGCTCAAGGCCAAGCTCAGCGAACAGGAAGGCGCAGGCAGGACGATCGAGATCTTCACGGGGATGGTCTTGGAGATGATCAGCAGTGGGAGATGGAGGATGCAGAAGCACGGGACGAGGATGGAAAGCCTGGAGCGGAGGAGGGTGGTACTGGAGGAGAGGATGAAGTTGAGGGCGGGGGGAGCAAGGGGCGGGCGAGGGCAGTAGAGGCTGGGTTCGATTTCCCCCCACCCCATCCCACACTCACACACCCCACATCACACATCCTCTTACAAAAACTGTATACTAAATATATTTTCTTCATCTTTCTTTCTTTTATTACAGGTCTGCCTCCGTTGCTCATGGACCGGCTCGCGATTTGGGATTGACTCGACGGTGGCTCGCGCTCTTTGGCTTCGGGGTTCTGAGTCAAGGGAGGGATCAGCAGACACAGGCAGAAAGTCGGCTTTGAGGGGCCAGGGACTGCTGAGGTGGAGGTTTTGAGGGGCCTCCACCGCGTCTTGTTGTGACCGAGCATAGACTTGGGGACTTCGCGGGTCAGGGTAGCTGCGCAGTCGCTCTCCTGTCTTTGTCTCGACCGAGTTGGGAAGTGGGTGCGGGGTGGGCCTCTTGTCGTTAGTACGCCAGTTCTTTTTCATTTTCTCTCTTTCTCTTCTCTCTCTCATTCGTCTCCTGGGGGGAGCAACCGCTTGGCTGGGGCACTTGAATCCGAAGTATCGGATTGGTGGACTTGGCCCGTTTCTCGCATCTTGCGGGCGGTTTGTGTTATCATCGTCGACTTCCATCTAGTTTTTCCGTAGGCCAATCAGGGGGAACAGGAATTGGGGGCAATATGATGAACGGTTTCTACAAAAAAAAAAAAGGAACAACACACACACACACCACAATTTCAACCTAAAAAGTAAAGTCCAAGTAACAAGTGCAGTCCGCCATCTGCGCAACGCATGCGATTGCCGGGCCGATGATTCATTATTGGGTGGTAATGGCGCGAGTGATTCATCACTCAACACGCAAACGCGTGAAGCGGTCACTGGAGGAACCGCGAATCCTCCAGCTTGGTCGCCCGAGGCAACTCAGGTCCGGTTGGACCATGAGAAGCTGATGAAGAAGACCTTCCAAGTGCTCGGGATTGTTCCCTCCAGCAAGTCGACCCGCCGACTGATGGTCCTGATGCACGACGCCTCGACCCCGCCTTCGCAGGCGCCAGCGCTCGCACGAGCCGCCCAAAGAGCGGTGCGAAACGACGCAGCCCCGGCCTCCAATGTGATTCGAGTCATTATGGATGGTCCTGGATCACCCAGAGGTCCTGTACAGACCGCGCTGCGCAAGCACTTTGGATTGGCCGAGACGCCGTTCATGTTCGCGCGGCCCGAGGGCGTCGTGCTTGACCCCGAGGTCGAGAAGCTTTTCTCGAAATGCGTGAAGCTGAACCCGATTGTGACGAAAGCCACGAAGAGGTTCCCGATCGCTCGTCACATGTACGAGCTTGTATTCGAATCCGAGCAAGCTTGTCTTGAAGCCGCTTCAGCGGGCCCATTCCCCTACCACGGCAAGGAGATGGTTACCGAGCTCCCCAGCGCCTCTCCCCTTAACCACGTCGTGCAGGTGCGATTCACCTTGCCCTCCTCCAGCGCGATCCCCGCTTCCGTGCTCCGAAAATCTCTCGATGATGCTATCACCCTTTCGTTCGGCCGCGCAGGTCGCACGCAAGGTTATACCCTGATGCAATTACAGCGGGGCCTCGCGGTCGATCCGAATGGCGATCCGATGGCCATGACCGAAGACGGGTTCCACTGCGCGTACCTTCGCTTACATGCTGATCTTTTCCAAGGCTCCATCGAGACGCAGAAGGGTGCGCTCAACGCCGCTTTGCCACAAGAGATCGAGATCCTGGGCGCCAAGTACGGCTTGCGACACGAATTCGAGACGCACTACTGCGCGGTGTGCGATCGCGCCGGACACCAGTGGGGCGCTTGCAGGAAGCCGGTTTCGACTCCGGCCACCGCCGCCCCTGTTCCGGGGGCCTCGACCTCGACTTCGACTTCGACCACCGGCTTCCGAGTTGCTGGAAAGAATGGGAAGCACGGTGGGCCTGCCGCATTGAACTCTCGTGTCTCTGGCGCGAACATGATCCAGCTGGGACCTCGTGCTAACCCCGCAGGTGCAGTAACCGCCAACAAGGACGACGCGAACGACGGCGACGACGAGTCGGTCGTTTCGACCGAACCGGAGGGCGGCGACACTGGGGAAGAGACGTCGACGCGTGCGACCCTGGGCTCAACAAAGGAGACGCAGACGACGACGGCGGCGCCCGTTTCGACCCCGACCTCTCCTTCGCCTTTGTCCGGTGGCACGTCGGGATCATCGGCAACCTCGACAACCTCGATAGCCTCGACGAGTCCTCGACGCCTTCGTTCGAGCTCGGCACCCGGCAACCGACGTGTCACCCGGGCGGATCCGCCATGATCCTCGGTGCATCAGGGGGTGATGGCTCAGGGGCAACAGTTCAGGGGGTCACAGGTCCGAGGTGACCGAATTCGA